AATTATTTTCATTTCATAATTACTGCATTTGTATGGATCATACAAATAAACAGCTGGCTGCACCAAGAATACTGATGGGCTCATGCGTTTTTGCACATTTTCGTGCAGCAATAAGATTGTTGACAGTAAGGGATTGAATGTAAAAGAATTAATACAAAATCTGCTTTTTCATTTCTGCCGACAAAGCATGAAGTAATTGGTGTTCGTTATTTACCAGTTCTATTTCAATTCACTGCTTCACAGTTTGGCATGTACACTCATCACGGAACTGTTCATGTCGGCGTTTTGTTCCACATGGGAAGAGCCAAACATCGGTTAAATCCATAGTATTGCATTGTGCAACCTTATGAATTTTCAGCTTTCTTGTATATCTGATTGTCGTGGGAGGGGTATATCGACGATTTTGTAACCGGAAGCTTGACGTTTCCGCACTATGGATGTACTTTGGAGAGAAAAGCTCCACACAAAAATGCAGCTTCCTACTTACTCTGGTTCTCAGGTTAAAAGTTAGAAAGACAATGTATACTATGTCGGTGATGTGTAAAGTTATGTCTAAAATATCCACACTGGACCGGGGAAAAATTTTCTAAAATGGTGGGGATTCGTGCCTGAAATTTCTGTTTAAATTTGCTAAAATTTGTTCAATTGTTTCAGCAATCCAGCATGATAGGGATAAGATTCGTTACACGAAACGCTCAAAAAAGGTGAAAGAAGAGAAACCATATGATATTGCGGACGCTACAAATGGGAAAATTGTAAAGGAGGAAGGTGAAAATAGTCCACAGAGCGTGCTGTACGTCTGCTTTCCCTCATTTATACAATTTGAATTTATACTATCCAGTGAGACTTTGGATTCGTTTATTCGACTTGATGGCAAATGCCAGGGGTCGAATTTGCCAACAGCTAGCTTCTAAACAACTCTTGAAAGATCGGCAACTTTGCCAACGTGTAGGTGTTTCTGACGGGTGCTGTCACGCGGACTGCTTCTGAATGCGCCATTTATAAATAAATAGCAACGCACACCAGACTAGCTGGTGCGATCATGCGTTTTGTGCAATTCAGCCCATCGAACAATTGCCTATTAATGATTTTCACTGCTTTGTACTTTAGTCTGTGCCAAAATAGTTCAAATACATTGCAAAGTGGTTAAAAATTTCACGCACCAGCGCACAAAAGCTGAATTCGAAACCTTGAAGGGTGAATATCTTTCTGTGATTCCCGAGTTAATAGTTTACCTACCAAAATTTTCACGAGGCCGTAGGTGGTACTCAAGAGCGCGGGAACAATGAATTTGAATAGGAAAGGTCGAGCGTGGGCAGGGGGTCATTACCCTAAGATTTCGGCCTCCTAGACTCCGTAGTTCCCGAGGTATTAATTTACCCGTAAAAAACTTTCACGAGGCCGTACGTGTGCGGGAAGGCTGAATTTAAATTTACCGCGTCACCCGCTGGTGGGGAACACTATACCAATTTCGCCTAGCTTTTGTGGATCCCGAGTTGAAAGTGCGGGACAAAATGTGGGACACACAAACAGACAACTCCGTGACAATATGCGTTTTGTAATGCTGTTACACAGCACAAAACGCACAAAAATGGATACGGAAGG